CTAATCCACATCCCACCCGTGAGAAGAGAACTATACCTGGATGGTCATACGGAGTCATCATACATGTAGGTTTCGAGCAGTGCGCGCCCCTTTGTGCTACAGCGTGCTTCGATGGTATTGCACAAGGTCCGGCCGTTGTAGCCTGCTCCTTCGCCGTAACTACATATACTCATCCTGACACGCTACTTTCTCGCTGCTCGCTCTTTCACGTAACGCGCTTGAAAGAGGCCGACGCAAAACTCTCCACCCGTTCCAGCAGTATCTCAAGCTGAGAATCATATGCTCTTAGTCAAGGAAACTTTTCAAACTCATAAACAATGCTTATTATCTCTCGGTTCTCCAACTATGTCGTGGTCTTCTCACTCTGGGCTACCATGATGCTCTGGGCAAAAGCTGCCGCGGTTGAGTTTCTGTCATATCAACCGTCATTTTCCAAGCTGATAGGTCAGAATGCGACTGGCAAAGTCGCCCAAGAGACTTCATGGGAAGCCTTTCATGAGGGTGGTATCTATAATAAGAAGGATAATTCGCTGTACATCTCCTCTAACTTCGACACCGTCGGCAACCCCATCAACATCACAGTACTATCTCTCGACGACCTTTCAATTCGAAGTCAGCGGTACGTCAACTTGAGCATGCCCAATGGCGGATCAGCATTTCATGCCAATAGAGGAGGAAGGTATATGGGGTCAGACCAGACTTTGCAAGTTTGGTGTGATCAGGGCGACACGAATAATTATTCCAAGCTAGTCTCTCTGGACCCTGATACCAACCAAACAACAACGCTTTTCTCAAGTTTCTTCAACCGGAACTTCACGTCTATAAATGACGTCCGTCAGCACCCGGAGACCGGTGACCTCTGGTTTACCGACGCTACATACGCCTACTTCAATGGCTTCCGCCCCAGCCCTCAAATGCCTACGCAAGTCTATCGGTATGATATGGACAGTAAAAGTATCCAGGTTGTAGCAGATGGCCTTCAACAGCCGAATGGGATCGAGTTCTCGCCGGATTACAAGACGCTGTACGTCTCTGACACAGGCGCTGCTACGACAAGATTGACCCCTACAGGTCCGGCGACAGTCTACGCCTTTGATGTCGTCAATCGGAAAAGGAGCTTGACGAACAAAAGGGTCCTCGCCTACGCTGATAATGGAATCCCCGATGGATTACACACAGATATCGAGGGAAATATTTGGGCGTCCTGTGGCGACGGAGTCCACGCGTGGGACTCTTCGGGAGTTCTGCTGGGAAAGATTTTCACCAACGACTACACAAGCAACTTTGCTCTCGTCCCAGGAGGGATGTTCATCTTCTCTAACAAGCGTCTCTGGGCCATTGAAAACCTTATTGCTCTTGGAAGAGAGGTCTGCGACGACTTTGGTTCTCATGTTGACCGGCGGTGCAACGAGCGAAGGAACTAGGTCACTGAGTTTACAGAAATTAAAGACTGCTACCAAGACCTCGTAGTACGGGACGTTGAATCATTAGATATCTCCACTTTATAGCTTGATATTTTGACAAATGTCTCCTTCACACCTGCATCAGGATAATGTACAGTTTGACTTGATGGTTTGTTTTCACCCTGTTTCCCCCCTCCGCCCGTAGCTCATGTAATGTATGGATCCGGACCCCCCGCGCGGGTGTGGAAGGGTTGAGACCCACAGTGGCTTTAGAGACGAGCGCTTGGTCAAAGTGCCGGCTTTCATGTTGGTGCACCCCGCGCGCCAATTTGTCAGGCTGACAACGATTGTTCAGGGCTATGGCGAATAACGACGAAGTCTCTTACGTTCTGCTGCAATCTTGAATCTACCGATTGCTTATCCTAATAATCCACAGGCTCCGTGGCTCAGCACTTTAGAATGATGCCATACACGGTGGATACTGTGCTTGGCATGATATTAGTCTTTTGCCGCAACTTTACACCCGAATCGTCTGCATAACAGAGAAATATCTCGAAGGAGCAAACCTGGGTCTTGGGTGCGCGATCAGCTAGCCTGGGTGATCAGTCCCCAGATATCGATCATGAAAGAACGAAGACAACTACGGAAGGTTCCGCGAAATGTATTAATCAAATCCTCTCGGACTCAATGGCATTTCAGTTGAGTTGTGGTGACAGCGCAGGTGAGTGTATTCTTGGCCAAAAACGAGAAAATAATCTTCATACGAAAACTTTGCGCTCTTGGTGGATAAGGTTGGCTGTTGATGGAACTCATCTTAACCTGTCTCTTCACGTGTCGTCTTGAATGGTTATCTTTGGAAAAATCAGGTAGGCAGGAAAGGGTAGTGAATCAAGCCGGCCAGAATAGCATGCCTCTGCTTACATCTTGCCCATTTCTTCTCCTTGCAATTACTACGAATCAAAAAGATTTTCCTTCTACACCTACATGTATATGGTGTGAAAAGATGTACTTATGAACATATCTATGTGGCTCCATATATGTATATCCACTTATCTAGTTCATGTCTTGAGGATCCAAGTCTTGGCCCGTAAATTAGTCCGAGAAATCTCGCCCTCGGAGTCCGTAGGGCCGCTTACATGATGGTTTCCCCATGGTTCATCGTGAAGGCGTATCGAATGAGAGTCCCATGGGATATGGCGAAAGCAGTGTGGGCCATACCGTCTAGCTGACTGACCCTAGCCTTCTTGGTAGCGTGTCATGATGAAAAATGCTTGCCCGCTCTTTGCGTTGAGCCTAAATTTCCGTCTTACAAACTCAAGAATCCATGATGACAAAAGTTTTGGAAATGCAAGGGTCCAAACGTGATTCCATTGCGTTTCTGGTCTATCGTGAGCAATGGGTAGCGCTAGGCTGACCTCAAGGAGGATTTAGTATATCACAATCGACGAAAGATTCTGTTCGTATAAATGGGTGGTTGCTTCCTGGACATGAGCCGTAAAATTGTCAACGCACATCATTCTCTTTACCTTCCCCAACGACACTTCAGAACGCTTTTCAAAATTGAGGATCACAAACCGTCTATACAATGGCTCTATTATCTTTCTGTAGCCTTCTGCTTCTGATCAGCGCTGTTTCCAGCTTTGCCAGAGCTGATGGTGAGGATTCTACGAACATATTTTTCTTGGCATGTGCTAATTCGAAGCAGCTGTCCCCTTCGAGAGGCTTAGTCAGAATGACTCGGTTCGTTCATTAGTAGTCAATGGGTTCTAGACCGCATTATTGATACATTGTACAGGTTCTCTTGATCGTCGACCACCAAGTTGGGCTGTTCAACTTGGCCCGAGACTTCGATGGCCAACTTTTCTACAGAAACGTGATTGCTCATGCAGCCCTCGGGAAGCTTTACGACCTACCGGTCATTATTACCACATCTCAGGAAGAAGGTTGAATCTGACTGTTACGAGGCTTCGGGTTTATCGACTGTTACTAACGAGTGGTAGGTCCTAATGGTCCTCTTCCAAAGGAGATCCTTGACATGTACCCGGACGTCCCTGTCATCAAGCGTCCCAGTGAGATCAATGCGTGGGACAATGCCGAATTCAGGGATGCCGTCAAGGCAACTGGTCGTAACCAGATGATCGTTGCCGGTATTGTGACCGATGTTTGTAAGTATTTTCATAACTCTCAAGGTAAATACAGCGTTCTTACTGAATCATTGATCAGGCGTTACTTTCCTGTCTCTGTCTCTCCGTGAAGAAGGTTATAGCGTCTGGGCTAATGTCGAAGCATCTGGCACTACCTCAGAGCTTATCCGCGATGTATCCAACTCTCGCATGCAGGCAGCGGGTGTGCACCTAGCAGGTCTGTTCAGCATCGCAGCTGATCTTTTCAAAGATTGGCGCGGTCCTCCGGGTGTTGCGAAGATGTCGGATTGGTATACTCAGTATGCGCCGGCGTACCTTCTGAATGCGCAGCTTTTCAATGCAGCCATTGGGACTGCTGTGGGAGACGGCACCCGTTAAGAAAATGCTTGAGACCGCATCTTGAGCCACAATAAGTGCACTGCTACTTGTAATCAAGGTTCTGCATCCTCAAAATCAGTGTAGCTAGTAGCTGGTCCAGAGACGGAGTGGATTTGCTTCCTGTCATGCTTAGGTCGATCGAGGTTTCCCGACTACAGTTATGTGTGGTCGCTCCTCACACAATCATAGACCCGCAATAATAACATGTCGTTCTGCATACGAAGACAACCTGGTCGTGAAGTTAACGAAAGACAAGGGTTCACCGGTAGACTTGGACGAAGAGTTTTGCTATTTGCACAAGCCGCAACTCGAGGCTCATTGACCTTACTAGCCTAGTTTCAACACAATGAGAATGTGAAGTATTCCTTTCCCTCTCTGATCATTGATTTTAGAAACTATCTATGATCTACATGCATTCTAGACATTGCGTACGCAATTGATCGTCTTGCTGGCACTGGCCTATATGGAACGGAGACTCCGTTAAAAACAAACATCCAGCTGCTTAAACATCGTGGCTGAGTCGATAGGACTATCGTATCACTATCGTGTAATCAGAAGAACAGGCTGCTGATTGTTCTATATCGCTATGTAGCCAGCACCTCAGACATCTAAATCCATGCCCTGTCGCGCAGCAATCACATTGGTGCAGAGCGCGTTGAATTTCATGTAATTCTGAACATCATCGATGCCAATCACGAAGGGGTTGGCTGCATCAGGCTGGCGATGACTTAGAAGGTCGGCTTGGAACAAGGCGTGGTCGGCAATTTGGTGGCTCGATATTAGCGTGTCAACGCCCTTCCATCTTGGCCACATTGCCAAGATGATTCTGGGACACAATCTTCTTCTCTCTATCAACCTTGGGTGCGGGGATGCCAGTGCCGCCATTCAAGCCAGCGATATGAGGAACGCCCTGTTCAAAGACGGGGAAGACGAGGGACAGGTTGCCAGGGGAATGACCAGGAGTGAGTATGGACATGAATGTGACGTTGCCGAAAGTGAGCTCCTGTTTGTCGATGAGGATCTGGTCTCTCATAGGCAGTGTTGGAATTGTGCTGGCGAGAGCAGCCATGGATGTCTAGGCAGCCTCGGAAGCCCAAAGTGTGGTGTTAAAGGTGTCTTTGAGATATTTGGCGCCACCGTCATGGTCGACATGCTCACGGGTGATAATGCAGTGTTTGATATCAGACCTCTTGAAGCCGAACTTCTGAAGGCCGGGGATCAGTATGGCATTGATTTCTTCCGGCTTGTCGAGAGCATCGATCAGAACGATACCGTCGCCGGTATCATATGCCCAGGCAGACACGAAGTTGTGACCGACAAAGTTGAGCCGGTCAAATGGTGAGAACGGCTCGACAAACCCGGCGGGAAATCGGAATAGTGAAGGGTACACCTGCTGAGTGATGCAGAAATCCTGGAAGTACTGATAGAGAGACCAGGTCTTGGCGAGATCAACGGCTTCGTTCAGGTATATGGTAACGTTCTCGGCTTTTCCGTTTGGGAAGGTCGTTCTATTGAAGAACTGGTCTAAAGTCGCAATTTGCGCGCTCACAACGGACAAATAAAGGGTGAGACAATAGGCGAGAAGGTTAGGAATACTGTTACTAAACATATTGGAAGTTCAACGAGTTGCCGAGATTGAATGAGGATCGAACAGGAGTCAAACACCATGACGTTTTCAGCGGATTGTACGTTGAAGTGTACAATTTCACGTCAATGCCGGATGAAACGCTTGGATTCATACTCCGGTTGTCGGGTATGATGTTCTAGACCCTGATGTAGATACTTGAGACGGTCAGATCACCCTTCAAATTTTCCTCATGGTGAACCCAGTTTTGTCCCAGGCAATTTAGCTTGGAGGGGCTACCGCACGCATTCCAGGTGACACCTCGTCTAGACTCTCTTTTCAGAAAAGATGCATATGAACGATGGCATCTTGCCTCTCCACATGAGAGGCAGTGAGCTTGACGTTAAAGCCTCCTCAGCCTCCAATACCTATCCATAAATCCACGTTCGCTTTTCACCGCTATGCGAGATATTTCGATGCCTCCATGTTGCCAACGCTTGCAAAGTCTGCATTAGACGCCGAAATTTAGAGCCCAACTCGTTATTACGTATCGAACGGAAATGATTTCTTTGCTGACTTGCAAGCCATACGTTTGGCTAGTTCGGTACCTGCTTCTATATTTCAAAGGTGGCGGAATGTCATTCATAGTGACGGATGCCAAGATCATGATCCTGGATTGTGTAATTAAAAAGTGTACCGTATCGTGTGATTTTCCTTGGAAGCCTGATCCCGTTAAGGTCGATCATTTGCGCCTGTAAAGCCGGAAAAAGACCATCACATGATCCTGGATATTCATTATCTGGCAAACGAATACTCTGTTCGACCAAATTTTACAGCCCCATATTCTCCTTTTTACGGACGAGTAACATGTCTATGTCTCTAACTCGGCGAAAAACTTCTGTATTCAACGGTCTAGGGACCCCTGATCAGGAATTTAGGGGGCGGGGAGACGACGCGTCATCTCTACAGGTATATGTAGGCATGACTCACAATATTCTTACTGATGGAAAGATCTGTCATGATTGGTGACTAGAAACTTAAGCATCATTAGGACATCCAATTTTGACGGGAAATACCCGCCGTGGGGCATAGTCAAAGTCTAAGCGGATGCAATTCGACTCCGAACCCCTCACTCGGGCAAGGAGGCTGCTTCATCATCGGCGAGGCCTTCCTAGTTCAAATTGTCCTGTTCAGGACAGCTTTATTCAAGCTATTTCCGTATTTCGGGAGCGATGGCAATGGATTCGGTGATCATTCTTGATCTTATCTGAAGAATTTCCAGCAAAGATATCTGAAAGCAATTCTTACGGCGCAACATACTTAGTGCGTTAGGGCCTGCATGGCTCAAACAGTGTAAGACATGTTGACGCTACCATTATGCCCGCAGCTATCATAGGGGGCCAGTCTGCCAACGCTGTGGTCAGACTGACCACAACAGGAGCAACTGTGCTGGACCAGCGCAGTGCATCAACCGCCCTGGTCCTCACACGGACAGCCCACATGAGTATCCAGCTCGGCTAGAGCGCGTACCCGGCGTGATTCAGTAAAAAGCAGTAAGGACATGCCGGGGACGGGCGCAGAGATCTAGGACCGAAAACGTCACATAATGATACACTCCTGATCCACAGCTCAACCATATACATCGTCCAGACAGGTGAACATATGTTCTCCAAGTCCACCTGCCACAATTACCGGGACAAAAAAACTTCCATCTTGTGAGTCAATTTCTCAATTCGAAGACCTTAACAAGCCACATAAGCCCAGATTACCAAACAGCTCCGTTTGCTCGGCCGCTGTCTAACGTCACCCGCCCTTAATTTCACTAGTGGACCAGAAAAGTGTGTCGTCCAAATGTGACTGAGCTCAGCGCGCGGTTACCAAAAAAGGACTAAATCGCTATACTCACTTTCGACATGACAGGGCCGACTGCAGTGGCAAGCGAACCGACTGGGGGGTCGCTCTTCACAGTAGTTATAATTCGTCGGTCGGGGGCTGCGGCTAGGAACAGCGGAGAAACCGTGATATTCAGTTAAGAGTGAAAAGAAAGATCGGTAAGTACACTCCAACTCTGTGAATGTGTACAACGAATTTCGCACCATCTAGCAATCGTGTCAAAAGTGTCTGACCTCTTTGTATTCTTGTCACGTTTTTACTGAACCCCGCACGATTGGCAAGCTCAATGCGTTCTATAACGGGGATCCTACGTACATGTAACATGTACTGATTGGAATTTCGTGTAAGAGGGAAAAAGATGCTGACGCTATTTACAACGTTCAGCGGTAGCATCAACCAATGGATTATTAGACAAAACCCCACCACTTCATGTCTTCATTGCCTTGGGTCGAAACGGGATGCCCGACACCCTGGGCGTAAATGCCTTCAAGCTTACTGCCCAAGACATACGTCGTCCATCCGCTGACAGGACTGTTGGTGAGCACTTGATCCGGGGCAGTGTCGTAACCAAGGACCGGGGCCCAGTTCGCAAGCGACTTATTAAATGTCGATGTACCAATGATGGTGTCCGCAGAGCCTAGATAGAGTTGAATGCTAGGGTAAGTGCCAGTATATCCTGGGTACTGATTCTTGATGTTCGCTGTGGAAGCAGCAGAATAGACGATAGCGCTTTTGAAGACGTCAGGGTAGGCTCCTGCCAAGGTAAACTACAGGTCGCATTGTCAGTGGGCTCACGGAGTCCAATATTCAAGGCGACAAGACTCACTGTCATTGTGCCGCCGGAAGACACCCCAGAGACAAATACTTTGCTGGTATTAGCTTTGTATGTGCTGACCACGTAGGCAGCCATGCTAGCAATTGATTGACTTGCGCCACCACCGTTATGCAAAAGTGATTTGCTAGAGGTCGCATCCCATGCACCTTGAGGGGATTCTGGGTAAACGGCGATAAAGCCGTACTGCTCCGCCAGCGTTGCGTAAGGTGTGGATGCGAATTGCTGCTGAGCGTTGCCGGAAGCGCCGTGGAGTGTAAACACGACGCCAGGAGAGGCCGCGACTTCGGCTGGGACGTAGATGTACATGTTAAGGTTACCAGGGTTACTGCCAAAACTGGTGACCTGTGTTAGAGCAGCTCGCTTGTCAGTCGGTCCCGCCATTGACAGATTGCCAAGGAGGGTGAGTGCTAGAAGATTGAGAAGCCTCATTGCGAACACAGCACCTCTGATGATGAATGAAAATTAACAAGGACAAGATAGAAATTATTCGGACTTTCGTTTGAGCAGGGAGTGAACGATCGATCTGTTGACGATCTTGCGCTGGGGGCCCTTATATAACAGAAGAAGTTAGGCGTTCAAGAACGCAAGCTCATCCTGAATTGCCGTGGCTCGAAGCACAACCGCCGAGTATGCTGGAGTCCGAGTGCGTCCCAAGCGTTTCTCAACTGGCTGGAGGTCAGGAAATTGTCATCCCCGCATGTGTTTGCCAATATGCAAACTAACAACAATCCTGATTATGGATGATCCATCTCAATAGAAAGGTGTTAGAACGCAAGGGGATTGCGGGGTGGATCGCGTTACGGAATAGCGTAAAATAAGGCGCTAGACTACGTTGAGAATATCCGAAGCATGACAACTTACCGAGCAAACAAAGCAGTACACGCGAAGAGGAAATTCTTGGTTTTGCTGGACGGAGTAGATCTCGACAACGTCGTTCCTCTTGTCAAAACAGACAATTGGAGGCTGCACGTCTTGAGAAGGGTAAAATTCGCCGGGTACTGGTACCCCGTTTTCTCGTGCCTAGCCGATCCTCAGTGGCCTTACCACCATGGGTCATGACAATGGAAGGGTTGGCCGAATTATAAGTCGACCCACCCCCTTTTGGCCACCCCCCCCTTTTGGCCACCCCATTTCTCTATCCTAGCCACCGCATTAAAACCCTACCCACGATTTTTAAACTACTATAATAATTATAAAAATTATCTAAATATAATTCTTTTTTATATACTTATTTATTAATATATAATAGTCTTATATACTAAAAATAAAGTTATTCGGGCTCTTAAAGCTATTAAAAAAGGTTTTTTAGTTAATTAGGCCTTAATTAAGTTTAGAGTTCTAAAGTTAACTTTTTATAATTATAAAAAAGGTTACTAAATAAAAATAATAATATTTATAAACCTCTAGAGGCTTCTTTTATAATAAAAAAACTAATTAGCTTAATAAGTTCGTATTTAATATAATCTAAGTATTATACTAATTTATAAATAGCTTAAAAAATTTACTAAGTAAGTTCTAAGATCTTAAGAGGATATAAATCCTTTTAAAAAAAGATAAATAGACGCTTTTTTAAAAAAGAACTTATTAATTAAGGTCTAAAAAAGTCGTATTATTAATTTAAAATATTTAAATAAAGCTATTATTAATATAATTAAGTTATAGTTTAGATTACTTAATATATTAAAAATTAGTAATATTAAATAGGTTAATAAATATAATATAAATAAAACTAATATCCTAGAGGGTAAGGGATTTAATAGCCTAGTTTTAAGTAAAATAGAGACTATAGTAGTACGAAAAAAAGAGCCTAGTTCGCGTACTTAAGTATTTATAATTAAGTATATCTTTATTAATAATCGAGCTATTAAATTACTAGTTATATATAAAGGAAAGTTAGTATAATAATAATAGTTTTTATTTAAACTTAACCTTTATACTAATTAAGAATTTATAATAATAAATAATAGTTAAACGATTAATAAGACTGCCCTTTAATAGTTAAAAATAATATTCTTATTATAAACTAAGACCCCCCCCCTTAGGGGGCTTAATATACTTAATAAGCTTTAACTATTAGTTCTAAATAGCTATAAAAGTTATATAATAATAGAATTTATATAAGAATATTATAGAAATAACGTTTATTTACTATTCTTATTACTATATACTTTTTATATTTTCTAGTTATTAAATATAGCTATTTTTAGACTTATTAAGTCTAAGTATAAAAAGGAGCTTAATAAGGAGGATATAGTAAATAATTTTATTATTATTAAAAAGCGGTACTTTTTAAACTATTATTAAAAAGCTCGTTTAGTTAGTTTAATATCGTTAAATATACGAAGTAAATAGAAAGTAATTAAACTATATCCCCCTAATATAACTAGACTACTTATTAATTTAATAATCCTACTTAACCTAGTTATATTAACTAAAAAGACCGTAAATACTAAATAAGTAACTAGTAATACTAAAAAAGTTATTAATTAAGTATTAGTAGCGTTTATTATTAACTAGTTAATACTTAAGAAGGCTAGCGAGCTTTATAATTAGTTAAAGTTATTTATATAACTTAGTTTAGATTATAATACTTAATAACTATTATTTAAAAAAATAAAAAAGGTATTTAATAAGTAGGCCTATTATTTAGTAATATCTTAGTATTATATTCGAGTTTTAAAAGCTAAAGTTAACTAATTAAAGCTATAAAAAAAGAAAAGTATATTAATAAACCTAAATACTAAGTTCGTAAATATTTAGAATATATAAAGAGCTTAGGAAGACTTTAATAACTATTTAGTTAGTCCTAGTTAATTTATAAGGGTCGAATTACTTAGGGAGAATAATAATTATATTATTATAGTAGTAGAAGATAGTTAATTAATTAAGTATAGTTAGTAGCGATGTTTTAATACTATGTTTTAATAGGGTGGCTAAAAGGGGGGGGGGGGGGGGGCCAAAAGGGGGGGGGTCGACTTAATAGTCAAACAAGGGCTGGAAAAGGCAATGATGACAGCGAGGAGAACTCAGCAATGGCGCTAGTAAAATCGCTGTCATGCGACCTTGCTTGGGAACATCAAAACTACCTAGCTATTGTTTGGACTTTGGAGAGGCCAGTGATAGAGCTTGGCTTTGGTCAGGATGAGATCGAGACCGAGGCCGTCGACAAAAGGCGGGTTCGGAAATTCTGAAAGTGAACTAGCCTCCCAGATATCCGATCGGCACAGTTGCGAATTGGTTTTCGGACAATTTGCATTACCAATCGAGGAATGTGCCACATTGGCATACCAGCTCTCACTCCCCACTCACCAGGATTGAGACGCGTCGTCTTGTGGACAGGAGGCTACGCCGAGTAAGGACCTAACCCAAGCTGCAAATTCGTAAATACGGGGTAGAACATAAGGGGTTATTGGATCCCAGATATTCTCACCCTTGATTACATTAAACTCGTGGTTCCTGCCCACTTTTGCTCGGCCCAATCTTCAACTTCATCCTAGTCGGGCCCGTGCTCTCATCGCGCCTCTTGTTCTCAAATTTCTGCCTGAGCTTTCGTCTACCCCCTCCTGTTTAGCGACTATGACTACGAATATGGAAGATCACAAAAACGAGACCATCTCAAATGCTAGTGTTGGTGGGAAGCCATCTATCGTTAACCTTGAGAGGGTTCCCAGCTCAGTGATGGGTAGTAGCCTGGAACTCGATGAGGAGACGAACAGAAAGTTGCTTCGAAAAATCGATCGAAAGTTGATGCCTGTTGTAAGTCATGGCCCTTTCCTTGTCACGGTTGAATCTAACTTTGTAAGCTCTGCTTCACTTATGCCCTTCAATACTACGACAAGGCTATCCTCAGCCAGGCCGCCATATTTGGCCTGAGACAGGATCTAGAGCTCACCACCGGTCTCAAATACTCTTGGGTCTCTTTGATTTTCTATTTTGGATACATCGCAGGCACTTATCCAATTTCGTTCCTCGCCCAACGGTACCCGATGCGAATTGTCTGCACGGCTATCTGCGTAGCCTGGTCTTTCGTCATTCTCTGCACGCCCGCTTGTACATCCTACTCAGGACTCCTTGTCAACCGTTTCATGCTTGGTCTCATCGAGGCAGGTGTATCTCCCATCTTCATGCTTGTCGTGGGCCTCTGGTACACCCACTCAGAGCAGATATCACGATCCAGCTGGTGGTATTCTTGCAGCGGCGGATCTCTTCTTGTCTCACCTCTTATCAATTACGGACTCGGCCATATCAAGGGAGGTGCACTCAACTCTTGGCAATGGATGTATATCATTGCCGGTCTCGCCACCCTAGCTTGGGGTATCGCTCTCTGGTGGCTGTTTCCCGACAGCCCTCAGAATGCCAAGGGGTTCACAGAAGCCGAGCGCCGCCTTCTTCTCGAGCGAGTCCGACAGAACAATGCTGGTGCCGAAGACAAGCAGTTCAAGCCCTATCAATTCCGAGAAGCCTTGCTGGACTATCGAATGTGGGGCATCATTGTCTTGTCTACTGTGTCTTGCACTGGCTCCGGCGCCGTGACGACTTTCGGGACCATTGTGTTCAAGGACATGGGTTTCGACGTCTTTACATCTCTACTGCTCAATCTTCCTATTGGTGCTCTGGCCTTTATTTGTATCCTCAGTTCAGGTTATATTGGCAGAAGAGTTCCCAACTCTAGGCTCTACGTTGTTATAGGAGCATGTGTTCCTGTCATCTTGGGTTGTTCCTTGATCTGGCAACTTCCAGACTCCAACAGAGCAGGTCGTATCCTTGGCTTCTACCTTATCAACTTCTTCTCATCCGCATGGGTTCAGTGTATTGGCCTGGGCACGTCCAACGTTGCTGGACACACCAAGAAAGCTGTGTATGCTGCCGGGACGTTTATAGGCTATTCTCTCGGGAACATCATTGGCCCTCTCATGTTTGACGCGTAAGTACATCAGCATACCACGTCTGACCGTACGCATGCTAATCGTCATAGAAAATTTGCACCGCGCTACGACGAATCATTCACAGGAATCATGATCTGCTTTGCGGTCTGTGTCTTTGTTGCTACCACGCTCCGATGGGCACTCGACCGAGAGAACAAGAGGCGCGACAGAGTCCACGGTCCACCGGAGCTGTCTCACGGTTTGCAAGACCGGACGGATCGGGAGAACGAATCCTTCAGATATAATCTGTAGTTTGTGGCGAACAATGGAATGTACTCGGAAGAGATATCAGAGCTACAAGAAGAATGAGGCTTGCTTCAAAGTTTAGTGATGACTCATTTTCTCCGTGTGAGGTAATTCAGTATGCGGAATCCTGCTTTCACGCTACCACACCTTCGAAAAAACAACGACACCGCTGCACTGAACTTGATTGCAATCACAACTGCGACGGGAGTACTGAGCAACTAAGGTACTTGGCACTTACTTACGTAAGTACGTACTCAGTGCGCCAAGTGGAGGTGCAGGGTGGGGTTAGTTTAAGCTTAACTCAAAGTCTCTCATTGGCCGGTGAGGCGAATCATTGTCTGGATAAGTAGTCAAACAGTACTGCCCTGGTAACTTGGTAAAGCTCAAGACCAGTAAACTTTCTTGTCATCTCCTCATACATTTGCGTATAGTGGTGCAAGATGCAATTCATGACGGAGGGTTAAGGAGATCGATTTCGTCTAATGTAAATAATGCAGCCTGATTGTTTTGTATTCACCAAATTCAGAAGGCAGGTTAACCTGGTTTCTTCATTTCTCACCTGGATATCTCGGCTAACGAAAATGCGTAACGGAAATTCGAGATGTATACCTGAGCGGTTCATCAGAACAAACAAGAGTTATGACTATATAGTCGAAAAACACCAACGACAGACTAGATTTAGCTCCTACATCATTTAAGCGAGGTTGATCGACGAGGAGCTTCACATAAATAGACTCTATTGCATCGGTCAATTCTGATGCATGAGAACAACAGGGTTTGTGTTTGAATCATGTCATAGTGCTTGAATGGCAGTTTAAAGACAAGAGCCAGCTATAGAGAAATGTAAGACCCTCCGTTCGACCGTCGCTTCGCCCGACATACTCTCGCCCGTAGAGTACTCAACAAGAACTACCCAAACCACCCAGAAGCACGGCCCAGGGAAAGCATCGGCCTGTGACTAGCGTATCCCCAAAAGGCATGTGTTTATGGCTGTCTAGTAGCGCTTTTGCCCAAGAGGGGCTCTAGACAATCATGGTCTTGACCCGTCTTCGACGTGCCGAGGTCAAGCTCACCGCAGGTGTCGACACCGGAGCCAAGGTGGTAGGTTGAGCGACTGTGGTCACAGGCACAGAAGTCGCATTCACGGCCTCGACTACAGCTGCTCCACCGTTCATCATCTCCAAGCTTGAATGATAGTCGCTCGTCCCGTTGTCAGGGTCCTGATCAGTAGGGGTGCAGCTAGAATCAGCCGCAACAGATCCGTGCTCACCGCTGATGAACTGGCCATCTTCGTAACCACCACCGCCGGACGCGAGCATGTTCTCGGCAGCATCTTCGTACCAGCCGTTGATGAAGTCGCCGTGGAAGCAGTATCCGTTGCCTGAGGCGCTGCCACACGACAGCTGAAAGGGAGCGTCGCCTCTCCAGCCGTCGGGCACGACAGCTTTGGTGTTGTACCGGGCAGCATAGCGAAGCTGGGGGATCGCCTTCATGCCCTCAGGACACTTGTTGGATTCGTCGCTCCAGTCGTATGCAGCGAGGTTGTCCGGGTTGACGCAGTTGGGAAAGCGAAGCGAGACCTGCAAGTGCTGGTCGCAAGTGCTGGTGGGAAATTTGGCGATATCAGATTCACGCACGTTCGATCCTTCACAGAACCACTCCAATCCGTTGGAAGGGTGATCGGCCTCGGATTGGGTCTGCGCAGACGCGTTGCCGGAGATCATGGCGAAATCCTGGGGGATGGCGATCTCGGCGAAGGCATTGGTGTAATAGGTACTGAAGCGGAAGACAGGCACCTCAGTGAAGGTGTCACCATCGACATAGTACAGTGTGGGGACCCCTGTCAGTCGTGTCAGATGCAAAGAAGCAAGATCAAGGTAAATTGCTGTCATACGTACAGTAAACAGACAAGTCGTTGGCATTCTGGCCGCTATAGCAGCCTTTCTGCAGGTCAGCCGAGGTGGGGAGAATATTGGTGACCGCGTCGCTGCCGAAGAAGGTGTGCATATGCGAAGTATAGGTGCCTGGAACGACAATTGGATCAACGTTCTTGTTCATGAATGGCTCATGGTGAAGTTCGGTCCAAGCTGCAGACAGACTGACGCCGGCGAGGAGAGGTAGTATGGAACGCATGTTGATGAAAGAAGGGGAGAGATAGATAAGAAGTTTGTAAGAAATGATTGTCCGATAGCCGATCACGACTAGGAAACTTGATCAACGAATGACTTTGTGGAAGAAAGGAGTGAAACACATAGATGTACAAACAAGAATGGATTGGCAAGTAGACAATACTTCTTGAATGCAGCTCTGATCAGACTCTTATATGGCCTGTAGCCAACGCATGGTGATGCTTTCGAGAATTCTCTGTGTGTCCGAGATACTAAAGTAGACTAGGATTGAAGCCCCATTCAGCGGAGTAGCTACGTATGTATGCGTGCTCCTAAACTCCACGTGTGGATACTCGTCTGATTCCAAGATCAGGACTTCGTCCAGATGTCGGTCGGGACGACCAGGCCAGCCTAGTCTGGTTTCAGATCTAGGAAGCCGAGATTTCTTGCAAGCGGCAGCTGAACCCCATGCGCCCAGCTCGACGTGCCGGAACTTCTGTTCTGTAGACTTTTGTAGTAGCATTGGCACTGGTCCAGCGAGGCTAAATGATTGTGAAAATAGACCCAGTATGTCGATCTCGCAGTCCTATATACGTCGAGAAAGAATCCTCGAAAGACATTCTCTCCAGCGAATGCAAGGAAATCTAAGCTTTCTGGGAAGTTGTCAATTTCTTGTGTTTCTGTCCTTGCGTTGAAATAACGCACCCAGTACCCTGAAGCCAGATGCCTCCAGCTTGCTGTCCCGAACATATGTCGTAGAACCACTGCTGAGACTGCCTGTTCTGCAGTGGAATCATAGTTGATCACTTCGGCTTGGTCTCCAAGTCACGCATTGGAGGCGGATGTACTTTTGTACTGGCAAGGGATGTGATTACGCAAAACAAGCACGAGACAATGATTGCCGTTCTGGACCCAAATCTGCCACTATCTATTGGGGACCGCGGTATGATAGGTGTGGTGACGTGCTACCTAGGCGCTAAACCGCATTGATAATATCCGAGTATCCGAGGTATTTTCACATTCCACAGTTTGAAGTACTCGAAGACTCGCTTTCTTGCGGCACGAAATGGAGACTAGTGTCAGGTAATGCTGTCCGATAGATAAAGATATATCCGTGGGAACTACTCTATTCTCGTAATATCCGAAGACAACGCTCTACGCAACGCAGAAACCAATATCCTGTTCCGTACCTTCAGAATGAATTTGGTGAGATGTATTCTCTGAGACCAAATACACTCCAAATAACAAGCTGCCTCACCTAAGATCTTCTGCCCATCATCAGCTGCCTTTCCTCATTCCCCTTCTTCCTCAATTTTTAACGGGCTAGCCATCATAAATCTGACGATGCGACGCTTTCTGCGCTCATCAACGCGCTCCGTTGCGCAGTGGTTGAGAGCACACCCAACGGGGCTAGCTCCTGCGGGAGACCTTTGTCGCCCCATACCAATCTTCTCTTCGTCTACCGGGGCATTCACTGGAATTTTGATCGGAACTATAGGATCTGCCCTGTGGTTTGCAGAAGGCACAGAAGGGCCTCGAAGCGATTTCCACGCACTGCAGACTAGAAGCTATGCCAGTCCAGCATCTACAAGGAAAGTATGTTTCGACTTCTACAACACCTCATTAACGTGACTTATTGCATTTTGAGAGACTAAGGATGTACCATCAGGGAATCGCACAAATTCGCCAAGAACTCGGAGACGCTTCGGTGAGCACGGACGAAGACGATATAGAAGAGCACGGATATTCAGAGTGGTCGACATCCAACTCATCCGTCAGGCCGAAAGCTGTCGTACGTCCAACGAGTACGCAGGATGTGGCCCGTATAGTCAAGATTTGTTCCCGCTACAGAATCCCAATGGTGCCATACGGCGCGGGTTCCAGTGTAGAGGGCAACTTTTCCTCCACACACCCCGGGGTCTGCATTGACTTATCCCTTATGGACAAGATTGTGGAGTTTCACCCAGACGACTTGGATGTGACTGTGCAGGCTGGCGTAAACTGGACTCAACTTAACGAAAGCAACGAACTTAAGGCAAGTGGGTTGTTCTTGCCTCTCGATCCTAGCCCAACGGCACAGATTGGTGGCATGATTGCAACGAACTGTAGTGGAACCAACGCCATGAGATATGGCACGATGAAGGACTATGTTCTAAGTTTGACTATTGTACTAGCGGACGGCTCTATCATTAAGACCAGGCGTCGGCCGCGCAAGACTTCAGCTGGTTACAACCTGAACGGCCTATTTACCGGATCCGAAGGCACACTTGGAATTATCACGGAGGCAACCCTAAAACTAGCGGTTGTACCATCTGACTACAGTGTGGCAACCGCTACATTTTTAACCGTAAAGGATGCTGCGGACGCGGCGTCCAAGATGATTCGCAAAGGCATTAACCTCGCCGCTTGCGAACTGATGGATGATGAACAGATGAAAGTCATAAACAAGAGCGGTGGGGTGGGAGGAAAGATGTGGGAAGAGTTACCGACTCTGTTTCTTAAGTTCGTGGTTCTTCACACCCGATCATAGTTATTTCAAACTGACGAAGCACACTAGGTTTTCAGGTTCGCAACAAAACATCGAGGACAGTGTTCGGTTGGCAAAGAGCGTCAGTAGTTCTTCCAAGTGCCAGACATTTCTCTCTGCGAAGAAGAAAGAAGACATGGACTCTTTGTGGTCCGCTCGCAAACAAGCTCTTTGGGCTTGCCTTGCTGCCCGCCCGGAGGGTACGGAAATCTGGTCCACCGATGTAGCAGTTCCAATCTCACGTATGGCACAAATGATAGGTAGCGTACCGAATTCGCCTGTCTCAATTTTCGCATGCAAAGCTGACGCGTATAGAAGAGGAATCCAAAAACGATGCAATGCAGATGGGCCTCTTCTCCAGCGTACTTGGTCACGTTGGTGACGGCAACTTCCATCAGATGATCATGTATGATCCGAAGAGACCATCGGACGTGGCGAACGTAAAGGGCTTCATAAATGGAATGATGCACAAAGCTTTAGAGATGGAAGGAACTGTGTCGGTAAGACGTCGGACAATTGTTGTGCCTGAAATTTGTTCAGCTCTGATACGCAAACAGGGCGAACATGGCATCGGCATTGGGAAGAAGGTAAGTCGGCGCCCACTCATGGAATGCCAACGACACATGATGAAGTGATACTAAAAGCCGCCGTAGCATTGCTTACTTGAAGAATTGGGCTCTGATACAATTGGGGTAATGAAGGCTATCAAAGATCGCTTGGATCCTCAGTGAGTTACGCAAAGTATGAGTTGTTGCAACGCCTTTGCTGACATGAAAATCTAGCTGGCTCATGAATCCTGGGAAGATATTTGACGAATAAAGTTGGAAGTTGGCTCCTCTGAAACCACGTGTGACATACTTAGACTTCATAGACCGCAATGAGAGGTCGTTCCTTTGAGAGTGTTTCGGTCGCTGGGGTGAGTCATCTGGCTGTGACGAATAGCCAGCGTTGAAATAGTCCCATGAATCGTATTCCATCGTTCTAGCTTTCTCTGGGTAGGAATGTTCGAGGATGAGTGCTGGTTTGAAGGCTTTTTCAAGGCCATTGGGACGCATCCTTCCAACCAGCATCACACGCGAATGTTATATTCTTCTTCTCAAGCTTCGTCAGTGGTGATGCATTCTTCGCGAAGTCCTTGACGGACCTTCGATAGGAGTTTGCTAATACGAGAATGCCTTGAACATCCTTGACGTATACTGGTGTCGCCCAACTGAGTACTGCTGGATCCTTTCCAGACTACATCCTGCTTCCATTGATTCCCACGATCCGGCCGAGATGCTTGACCTTCTGAATGTGGAATTCGTATTTTGCGACAGTAGACGCCGTGCCCCTTTGGTCGATCCAGTACTTTCCGTATGTGTCTTTCGTGCTCTCTCAAAAGTCGCTGCAGATCAGAATGTGGTCTAGATGCCCAGACCGTACAGAGAAGATCGAGATGCTCTCTCCGAGGGTCGTTAACATAGGTAGTGGTGGAACGTTATAGACCAGCACTTTCAAGGTCAGTGGGTGGGTCCACAACCGAAAGGTACATCTCTACCTACCAATCCACTAGTTCACTGAGTGAGGTGAGTATAAGAAACCCCGCATCCCTCCTCCAAGCAAGTTCCTGCGAAAATCTCCCCCTGCCGCTATCAACCATCTGTTGAGCAAGAAGTCAGTAACCACGCTTGTGTCATTCGACGGATTCATACTCCCAGCCCATATCAGCATCATTGTATTTCTTACACGCTTTCATTCTCACATGTTGTTCCCGTCTCCATCATTGCGAGGTCATAATTATTGATAAGAGTTGTGCAACTCAAAATATGTCCTCCGACAGTCGAGGTAGCCTTCAATTTCAACCACCCAACAGGGCAGCGTCTCCGCCCAACTCAAAGGTACGCAGGGCATACTTATCGTGCGAGACGTGCCGCAAGCGCAAAACTCGCTGTGTTGCCAACCCCTCAGGCCAGTCTCAGCCATGCCAGCGATGTGAGCTCGACGGACGAGAGTGCGTAATGCGGAGCACGAGGAACGCATCCCGCAGGCGCCCAAGACATCAGCCGCCCCGAGACCCATCAATTTCACCAGCCTCCATAGGCAACCTCAACAACAAAGCAAACGCAACCGGCTCCATCAACGTTGGTAGTGGTGGCGACTGTCCCAGTGACCTTGAGAGAGCCGCGGCTGACGCTGGAGTGTTCCAATGTGAGCCTTCACCCATCGAGCCGTCTCCACCAGGTTCGCAGCCATCTGCACGTAGGAGGATTATCTCAGCCCATCTGCACAACACAGCCGATGACCTGGACTTACTTACGTTCACTGCTGCTAGTCAACAATGCAAGGACTACGAGGTAACGCCCCAAACGGTGACTTGCCAAAGTCAAGCATCAATCGTACCCACCATGCCAAGCGGAACTTCCGACTGGGAACGGTTCGTTCTGATCAAAAGACGAATTTTAAGCAAGACTGAATTGATCGAGTATCTCGACTTCTATTTTAGTATCATATGGTCGATACGTCCTGTCGTACCTCCATTCTACCGGGATCGTGAGCGGTATGGCATCTTACCGATCGAGGAGCCACTGCTAGTTCTTACACTCATCACGATCTCATCCCGCTACCACGTACTCTCCGGGCTCCACGGTGAGATTCGTTCAGAAAGAATACACTGGCAGACATGGAAGATTTGTCAGCAGTATTTGCAGTCAGCTCTCTGGGGCTCATCATACACACGTACCCCTGGTGCCGTTGCATCCATGTTACTACTAATTGAATGGCATCCCAAGGCAATCAACAATACAGTCGCATTCAGCAATGACGAGGAACCTGAAAGTAATGTCACGGGATCTCAAAACTTGTTGCAAAGAGAACCGCTGGGTACACAATCGGGACAGCATACTTCGTTGACGAGCCAGCAAAGATACGGCATGGCAACGCTCCTCGAAGACCTCAATATTGTCGCTCCTGCTTATAGAAGTAATAAGATGTCATGGTAAGTGCTACATTATACCAAGTTTGAGTGTCAAACCTTTCTCTTCTCATAGTTGGCCACGGACCTTTGACATGTTGCAGGATGCTTCTCTCGAATGCCATAGCTCTGGCTCAAGAAGGCTGTTGTTTTGATTACGATCAACAAAGCACAAACAAAGAACCGCTCAAATCGACAACGCAGTCTGCTAAAGATACTTTGCGGCAGCAATGGAACCAGCTAAATTGTGTTTTCATATATTTAACTGATGAACACTTGAGCTTGCGTTTGGGGTTGCGCCCGCTTCTGCCCGAAAGCCAGCGCGAGGCAGTACGTTACCGATTCTCGACGACCTTCGCTAGCCTGCTTCCCGACAGCGCTCTCTGGGAGAGTTACTACGAACTCTTTAACGAGACAAGAAGATTGCGTACACTCCTTCAGTCCCTTCGGAAACCGGGAGTATCAACACCACCTAGTGCCGACATCCTACCTGAAGTACAGCATGTAGACAGAGCGTTATCGCGTTGGAGAAGGAGCCACGAGAATCTAAAGGCAGACCAATCCGAGTTGCTAACCACATGCCTCGATCTTGAGTATCACTACATGGTCATGTATAGCTGCGCCCCGGCTGGCCACGTTCTGTACAACAATGTCTCCATGGCATTGGCTGATGACAAGAGACAGGCTCTGTCGGTACTGGATAAAAAAGCAGCAGATGCCAGCCGTGACATACTCTCTATTTTCACGAGGGTTTCCAGACCCTCACACATTACGCGGTATCTCCCTGTACGGTGCTGGTTGTTCATCGTCTCCGCCAATCTTCATCTTCTGAGGGTTAGTTTCCCTCTTCTCGTCATAACCACGAAAGCTTGAATTCGCCTTCTGAGAACTGATACTGTTGAAATTCTTCTAGAGCACCTTAATTATAAATCCACACGTGAGCGAAGCACATCAAAATGTACAGCTTTTGCGTGAATCCATCAAGTCAATGCGCGAAGGAGCCGCGGATGACATTCACATGTCGGTGCGGTATGCACGCTTCCTAGACATCCTGCTCGATGCGTCTCTTTATTCATCCTCTCGGGTACACAGCCCATCGGGAGCAGATCAAGAGGGCTTTGTCCATCAAGGGCTAGGGACGACGATCATTCCCCAAGTGAGGGATGTTCTTGATGAAGTGTCAGGTTCTCGCCAGGACACAAGTTTCATGGCGACCTCAATATTAGACGACTTAGAGATGTTCGATTTCCCTCAAAGCTTTACGGTGCATGGAGATGCGCTTCAATGGTGGAATAACTTTGGTGCTTCTTCAATAGCTGGCTGGACGGAACCATAACTGTTATGTAGAATCCCGCTCTTCTCAATAAGCCTACACTTTTAGCTTATTGGAAGGCGAACAGACTGGATTCTGGATTTTTCAATATTCAAAGTTCTATAGAATGGCTAAGGAGCGCAAAGTTGCTTCCTCTCGACGAAGCCGCTCTCGGCATCGGACCCGAGTACTTCACTGATCTTGTCACTCGTAACTAGCTGGTAAACCTTGACGTGACTCGAGCTCAATAGTGAGGAGTCTCGCGTTTTAGCTTCGTCACTATCCGTTTTCGAGTTCTTCCACGCATGCAGTCGAGTGCAATGAACCGCTGTTTCGGGAATATGAAGTCATCCCTTCCTGGTTCAGGTGTCCGGCAAGTGACAATGTCTCTTTCTACACAGTGGATGCCAGCGAATATTGGACCGAAAGTCCTTCAGTCCTGGATAATTCCGGTCCTGATTAGAATAATTGAGTAATCTGAATATTTCTTCTTCGTCATTCGGCTGTCCGAAGCCTTGACAAAACGTGCCTCTTACTGGATTCTCAAGGACAGCTGTGCGCACTTAGGAACTGCCTTCTTGTCATCTCGACGACGTTCGAGACACTGATTTAGACGAATCGATCGTTTCCGAGTTTCTGTGGGTGCCAGACCTCCCATTCTATGTATCCCAACTTTATTCATTGGCATGGGCTTTCCACTATGACGCCACGATGTTCAGAAAGTTGGGTTCACTATCGAAGCACTCACTCTGCAAGATGGCTATAGCATAATAATTACTGAATATGATGTTGAGATGGGCACCACTTTGACCAAAGAGGGGAAGAAACAAGGCTCTAGGTGGATTTGTAAGCTTTAAATTTCTGCCCCTCGTCTGCGATAGTTACCTATTGTCCGTCACCAATGGCTTCTCACGTATCGACACCGTCGCTTTGTCTTCCTCTGGGCTGATATCTAAATCTCCCTCCCTCAACCCTCTTCTGCTTCTTGTACTCATCGGAGACGTCCGTCCATCAAAGATGTAGTCCTTCCTCGCTGTCTGCCACAACGGAGAAAGTGAACCATTTGTCTGCTCAATGGCCGGAAGTGCCAGCGTCATTCCATTGTTTTCACCATTCGTCCGGTTGTTGCTATCAGCCAATGTGGCGGAAGGTATGCTCTCGGGGCCTCGACAGTCGCAGGCGCTCATTCGAGTGAACGCCAATAGTTTGTTGAGCACGACAAATTCAACTTTGAGCTTGACGCTGTAGACAAATAGCTTGCACATTGTCTGAATCTCGAATTTGTCGCTGTATTCCAGGATGATCAGGCCTGTGTCTAGTATAAAGACAACAGCAAACAGTGAAGCCAAGTGTCGCACCATGTTTGCAACAGCTCTTGGTTTGATTGCACTCAACGGCTTGAGGCTTTTGTAGCCTTCGTATAGGAAGAGCGATGCGATGATGGTCTCCTGGATCGTGAAAACGACGAGTTCGACCTTTTCGTATATCTTAAAGGGCATTACGTATTGCTTGGGGCTAGTGTTGGCGAGGAAGAAGATCACCGTCTCCGGGATATGC